GGCTAACTGCCTTCCCTCTAGTCTTACACTGCTAAATTAGTCCTCGTGTAGCTTCGCGCGAAATTCAAACAAACAAACAAATAATCTATTTCTTCGAATTGTTTTGCTTTCCTTTCATTTTCAACTGTCGCTTCTGCATTTGTTTTCTTGTTTCTGGATTTTCCCTGATCTTTTTGTTCTTTGATTTTCGCCTCATTAGAATTATTTTCTTAGCCCCTCGCCCATTGTGCAAATAAGTATTAATTTAAACAATGATTTTTTTTATTAGTAAATAGTTCTCATTGAAATGTTTTTAGCAAATGAATAAAATTTATTTCATGATTATTTTTCATTGGTTCAGCGGTAATCTTGTGGGCTAAAATTCGAGTCCCGGAGCCTACGGTGGTCACAGCACAGATAGCCCAATTATTTAGCTTTGTGCGTTAATAACAAAACCAAAAATGTTCGTCTTACTGAATCAAGAAACTAAACTAAACATAATAATGGTATATATTTTTATATTAAATATACCGTATGTTTTAACTAAAAACAAATAAATCAGAACCTTTGGCACCAATGATCTGGTAGCTCAGCTAAAAATAGGGTTTCAGTACTCGCCGAGGGCACATCACAAATAGTCTGTTGTGTAGTTTTGTGCTTAACAACAAAGAAACAAACCTTATCGTACTTATCACGTCATAATTCTCAAAATGACAGCTATTAACGTTTTAATCAACCATGTTTCGTTTATTAACTACATATTTTATTACAATTTACAGCTTTTACACTGAGGAAGAGTATTTTCTAGAACACGTACGACGTTTCGATTACTGGTGCGATCATTCTCGAGTTCCATAACAACTGTTGGCTTCACCAAAGCCACTATAGCTTTGTATCAACTAAAGTTTCCGCAAACAAAACACCATTATTAAGTTGGATTTCTGTACTCCACAAAAGACCTTTCCAAACCAGGCTATGTTCTTTTACATCTAATAGCACACCTTTGTAACTCATTACCACTAACATGGTGAGTACATCATGATTTTGTTTTGACATTGCTTATAATAGATAACATGTTCAAGATAGTTTACAATATACAACCCTACAAGCCACATTTCTTTTTTATTTTATAGCCTCAATATGTGATGGGTTATTTTAAACCTCTAACGCCACCTAGTCTTTACAGTAATATTAAGCAGTTTGTGAGCTTACAGATATCAAATTACGTTATAAAGCGTTTCAAAGTAAATTCTATCTAGTGCTACTTCTGCTCTAAAGTTCTATATTTGTAATTCTGTTTACCCTTCATGTTGTTTCCCAGTGGCTCACTAGGGCTACTTCTGCTCTAAAGTTCTATATTTGTAATTCTGTTTACCCTTCATGTTGTTTCCCAGTGGCTCACTAGTGCTACTTCTGCTCTAAAGTTCTATATTTGTAATTATTTTTACTCTTCATGTTGTTTCCCAGTGGCTCAGCGGTACGTCTGAAGGCTAAAAACAGGGTTTCGATACCCGTGGTTGGCACAGCACAGATAGCCAATTCTTTAGCTTTGTGCTTAACAATAAAAAAAAGATATTTTTCATGTTGTAAGCTATCTAACCTGAAACCTACCAACCTGCCATCTATGATGTATATATTTTCATACTCACGACAAAAGTATATCATAACATGTTATAAGTTTTATATCTACTCTTTGGACCAAGAATCTCAAAATACAAAGACGAGTGGCCAGATATTACAAACGTTATACAATAAATACTTCTTTAGATCCAACACTTAAAAACGACATTATACGGTTATGCTCACAATGCTTATGTTGTTGATCAAATTGTGTAAATGTGCTGTTTTCTTCTATATTTACAGAAACTGAGATGGTATTGTCACAAAATTTACGAGAATAAATATATGAAACTATGAATATAATACACACATGAGATAAATAAGATTATGAGAAGCTCCAAATTACCCTATGAGTCAATTTTATGTACTTATAGACTAAGGAGCATTCTAGTTACTTAATATGATTGATGATAAATGTATATAAATTGCTGAGTTGATATTTCATAATCATATTTAATAAACATGATCTTTTGTAAGGTTATTTTCACATACACAATTATCATATTATTTCAGCAATTGAATCAAATCAAGACACTACGTCATACACGTGCTTGTTATCATATTGCACAAGTCATGAGTCTTACACGTGCTTTTTAAATTATCACAAAGTCCCAATGGAAGGCACGTGTTTAATGCTTCAGTTGACATATCCGTAGGTAAGATACTAGCTTATTATAATACAGAAATGTCAGCAGGCTAGATACGTGCTTATTTTACTAGAAACATATCAACGTGTCAGATACGTGCTTATTATACTAGAAACATGTAAGCACGTCAGATAGGTGCTTTTATACTAAAAACGTGTCAACAGGCCAGGTACGTGCGTATTATACTAGAAACATGTCAGCAGGTTAGGAATGTGCTTATTATACTAGAAACATGTCCAGGTACTTGCTTTTACCCTAGAAACATGTCAACAGGTCAGGGACGTGCTTATTATACTAGAAACATGTCAACAGGTTAGGTACGTGCGTATTATACTAGAAACATGTCAGCAGGTTAGATACGTGCTTATTTTACTAGAAACATATCAACGTGTCAGATACGTGCTTATTATACTAGAAACATGTAAGCACGTTAGATAGGTGCTTTTATACTAAAAACGTGTCAACAGGCCAGGTACGTGCATATTATACTAGAAACATGTTAGCAGGTTAGATACGTGCTTATTATACTAGAAACATGTTAGCAGGTTAGATACGTGCTTATTATACTAGAAACATGTTAGCAGGTTAGATACGTGCTTATTATACTAGAAACATGTCCAGGTACTTGCTTTTACCCTAGAAACATGTCAACAGGTCAGGGACGTGCTTATTATACTAGAAACATGTCAACAGGTCAGTTACGTGTGTATTATACTAGAAACATGTCAACAGGTTAGGTACGTGTGTATTATACTAGAAACATGCCAACAGGTTAGGTACGTGTGTATTATACTAGAAACATGTCAAAAGGTCGCGTGTTGACGTGTCTTCTATAACAAGCACCTACCTGACCTGTAGACATGTCTTCTTTTACAAACAGTGACCTGATCTGTTGACGTCTTCCAGCGTACCAAGCATATACCTAATAAGTTGGCACGTATACCAATGTAATAAGCACCTGTGTGACGTGTTGGCACGTTTGTTCCCAGGGTAACATGCATGTATCTCAGATATTAACATGTCTACTGAAATATGAGGCTCCTGTTGACTTACCTGACCAGTACCTAACCTGTTGGCATGTTTCTAGTATAATACACACGTACCTAACCTGTTGACATGTTTCTAGTATAATACACACGTACCTAACCTGTTGGCATATTTCTAGTATAATACACACGTACCTCAGGTAGGTGCTTGTTATAGAAAACACGTCAACACGTCAGGTAGGTGCTTATTGTCCTAGCAGATATACCAACACGTCAGGTAGGTGCTTATTGTCCTAGCAGATATATCAACACGTCAGGTAGGTGCTTATTGTCCTAGCAGATATTTCAACACGTCAGGTAGGTGTTTGTAATAGAAGACGTGTCAACAATTCAGATATGTGCTTGTTTTCCTAGCACAAGTCAACACGTGAGATAGATGCTTATTATCCTATTAGATAAGGAAACACGTTAGGCACGTGCCTATACTATCAAAAATGATAATAATTAATTTCATATAATATCTGTGTATAATCACAATTTACTTTAAAAAGTAATGACGTCATTTTCTCTTTTTACTTTCTTAGATGCGGAAAACGGGGAAGATAGTAATAATCATATATCATGGGGTTATAGTAAAAAAAAAAGAAATACATGAACACGTAGCACATACCTATAAGGATTCACAGAGGCCTAAAATGGTCCTATTTTTACCACATTGAAAAACATCTTACTAAAATCCCTATTTTGGTTTAAATTTGTAGATTTTATATAGGACTTGTGACGTCATTGAATTTTCTTATGTGCTCGTTCAAAATGTGTAATTTTTACTTTGAAACTTATATTTGAAAATCATGTTTTGCCTTTTGAACAAGAATAATTATTCCGACGAATTTCAAAACAAAACATACAATCTGGAGTTTGAAAATCATTTGATAGCACTGGGAATAAAATTACATTATTATCCTATTTTGGATCTGATAAGTTTGGGGGCTTATAGCGCTAAAGTTCGAGTTTTAATACCTACTGTGAGTAGAGATAGCAAATTGTGTAGCTTTGCAACAACAAACAAAATCATCTTGTTTTTAACTATTATAACTCTGCTAATATAAGCTTGCTAATCTTAATAAAGAATAATTAACAGCCTTAAGAAACACAGGTAGAAATAGTTATAATGAAACCTTATAAACAAAATGGTATAGCTATGTTGAATATGTATATTATAATTCTAAACTGGAGAATATTTTGAATAATACAACAAACTTTGTTAATGTTGAAAATATCTCCTACAAAAACTAGATAAACTAAATTACAAAACTACTTATTGAAACTAAAAAAAGAAAAATGTTGAGCCCTGGTATTGAGCGAAAGGTTTCTGCGGCACTAGATATGTCGGATGTGGTGTGGTTGGCATATTGTAACACATTCTCCTTTTCTTTCACTCATGAGTTTAAGAATTATGTCGTATGAAAGAAGATTTGATGTAAAATTAGTTTATGAAATCGAACTATTCAGCCTGAACGGTATGTTATGAGAGAACTGTGAAGGATGTTCATTGTGCTAGTTTTGATGTGAAACCTGTACATTAATGTTACTTTAAAGGAGACATTATAACTAACAGTGAATCAATTTTCAAATTATGTTTTTTCATATTTGCTATCAAGCGATCTCGTTTCTTGTTTAATAACGTTATCATATTAATGGAGTAGTAGTTGGATCAAGGTTAGCGCCACCTCGTTCTTTTGTTGTCGTCATTAACAGTGGTTGAGAGTTTGTCCCTTGAGTTTCAAGCTTATATATTATCGAGGGTAATTTGATGATACTATTGTCGTATTTAATGATCCAGAACACTTTTGAAGTATCTTAATTACTGGTTTAAAATTCACAGAAGAACATCAACTGGCGCTTCCTATTACAGTGATATGTAACACTAATGGTAAGTTTGATTGTGAAGCCTATCACAAAAATATATTTACTGGTTTATATTTTAATTTCAGTAGTTTTATTCCATATAATTTGAAGGCAACTTACACCAGCATGTCAATTCATCTAGCTTATAAAATCACTAGTATAAGTAATATGTAAACACCAAAATGTTTTTGAGCAAATATGACTTTCCAAAAAGTATTGTAGGTAATACGGGTAGTTGAATAAAGTCAATAGTTCGAAACTGATAGTGTGTAACGTTCTCAAGGATTATTTCTCAATAATAGTATCATATATCGCCAAGCATATAGTACCAGTGAAAAAATAATTGTGTAAGATTTTAAAAGTACTTATTGATTAAAGAATTATCAGGTCGTAACTCATGGAAACAAGTACTACAGTTTATCTTTTGTTGGCCACGCAATGAAAAATCGTAGGTAGTTAGCATGTAGGGGCGTGTGTGTTGACCTCATGGTAAAACTCCGGATTTCGGAGCTATTTCAGGTGCGTTGTGAGAGTAAGGGTCAATCCCTCAGCTTGTATCATGGGTGGTATGGTGTTGTTGACTGGCTGCTTTCCCTCTGGCCAATAATTCGTAATTAAGGCCTTAGTAGCTTTGCCGTAAATATAAACTATAATGTACTTTTCTTTTCAGAAACTGAAGGTAATTGTGAAAAAAAAAAACCCAGCAACTTTAGCATAAAATAATCATGTATTAAAATATCTAAAACTAAACTAAGGTTATTAAAAAATATATTCTGTGATGCATGATATGCATAGCCTGTTTAAATAATTTGTATTTGCTGTGGCCGTAAACTTGGTAACGAATATGAAGATTAAGTGAGTAAAAATGGTTTGATAGCCTAGATTTAAGATTAGTTTATGAAATTAAAATATTCAGCCTGAACGATATGCTATTAGATAAGTGGACGAAACGATGAGCTCAGATACCCCTAGGGTTTAGGTATAGTCGTCCCTGAATTTGAACTATTGACCACAGTTGGAGATACCAGTCAGCAACACCCGCCGCCACAATGTTACTTTTATAAAGCGTTCGCAGCGGAAAGTGTGGAACATACTCAGCAGCATCGAGGTACGAACCTTGGACCTTCTGATACCCATTCCATGCTCACTCATACGTCAATTTCTGTAAATTTAAAGGATAAGTAATCGTTCTGGCCATGGAATAGAGTATTATAAACATGGTAAATGATGGCACTTGTGCATAAGTTAAATAAACTAAAAACACCATAACGTGAAAAGCGAAGATGGTGGCGTAGAATACCACCAAAACATCTAAACTTGTTCAACTAGCCTGGTGCTATTTTGAAAATTATTTTTAACGTTGCGGCATCATACTTTTGCCTTACGTAAAGCGTTCTTCCAAATATATAGATGTTTCGTCATCTAGTAGCCGTTATACGAAGTCTTCGTCACACTATTGTCTTTTGGATCAAGAAATTCACATATAGCTGGTTGTGTTTTACTAGATACTCAATCATCAACAACCTAATAATGTTCCTCCTTTAGTTTTTACAGCAATTTACAAGATTTGGAGAGCATATTAACATCGATGTTGTAAAATATTGTACTTTATGTTTCAATTCATGTATACCTATATTTACGTTATTAACGTACGAGGCTGCAGAGCGGAAGGCTTAGGGTTTGTTTGTGTTTGAATTTCGCGCAAAGCTACACGAGGGCTATCTGCACTAGCAGTCCCTAATTTAGCAATGTAAGACTAGAGGGAAGGCAGCTAGTCATCACCACCCACCACCAACTCTTGGGCTACTCTTTTACCAACGAATAGTGGGATTAACCGTCACATTATAACGCCCCCACGGCTGAAAGGGCGAGCATGTTTGGTGGGATGGGGATTCGAACTCGCGACCCACAGATCGCGAGTCGAGCTCCCTAACCACCTGGCCATGCCGGGCCAGGCTTAAGGTAACCCGTCTTCGACCATGCTCGCCCTTTCAGCCTTGGGACGTTATAATGTTACGGTCAATCACACTATTCGTTGGTACAGAGTAGCCCAAATCTTGGTAATGAATAATGTTAACTAGCTATCTTCCCTCTAGTCTACTATTTCCATATAGGGGCCGTACGTTATTTACGTATTTACATGTACTTGTTGTAAACAGGTTTATATTAGTTCCAAAGTACGCCACCTAGCAGTTCGAATCAACGAACGAAGGAAATAATTCGAGTACTTACATACACTTCAACAAAACGTGTAACGCGACACCTTGCGGGAAAGACTTCCACATTCTCTGCTCAGGAGAGAACAAAAATAACATTGCAGATAAAGGAGTCTTTATTAAGTTTGTTTGTTTGTAATTAAG